TATGACTCTCGCCAACCATGCACATGGTCCGGGGTTCGATCCCTTGCTGACACACACCTGATATCTATGGTCGGCCTGCAAAATTTGGGCTACCAATATCACATGCTGAAAATTCCATACCTGTACCAAAAATACGGTGTGGAATCAAGCTGTATTCAAAAAAAAATTATACCTAAATGAAGTGCCGAAAATGCTTACCTCATTATCAATATTATTTGAGGACTACATTAAGATCTAGAAAACTGTAAATAATAGTGATGGTGATAGGTCAGTGCTACAAAGTGATCTAGATAAATTAAACGGAGTGGTCTAACTTCTGGAGTCTAGAAATTAGTTGCAGGCAAAGTGCGATAATGCACTCAGGTCAGAGGTCTTACATGTCGTACTCCCTGGGAGACACAGAATTGCCAGATGTTAAAGGACAAAATGACTTAGGAATTATCGTAAGCCATGACTTGGAATCAACCGCAAATTATAATGCAGCCGCAGCTAAGGCTTTTCGAATGCTATGGACACTTCGAAGGGCTTTCAAACGATTAGACGAGTATGTGCTCTAAGTACTTTATGCAACATGTGTCAAACTTTGTCTAGAACACTGTATAGAAACGGTGAGTCCTTGCTTCAAGAAGGAGGCACATATCCTGGAAAGAGTGCAGAGGGTAGGAACCAAATTAGTCAGTGGCATTTCGCACCTTCCTTATTATGCGAGGATGGAGCATTTAAATCTCCTCCCATTATCATACCGAAGGAGGAGAGGCAACCTAATTTTGGCGTGCCGTTTACTAAAAGGTGATTTAGGGATTGACCTTCCAAATCTTTTCTCCCCCTCTAGGACACATTTACGAGGTCATCACAAGAAGGTGCTCAAACCGTGGTCGAATAAAATACGTGTGGAATTTAGATTCTCTCACAGACTGGTCATCGACTGGAACTCCTTACCTGATTCAGTAGTAATAGATAGCTCCATCGATGAACGCTTTCCAAGAGAAATTAGATCTCTGCAGAGATATGTATTGCAAGGATTAACACTGGAAACAAGAGCCTACTAGCCTTATTATCTGAATCTGAGTCTGAATCTTGAAGCCAGTAGAAGTAGGAAATTCCAAGTATATACAAATTTTAGTCAAAATCTCTTCAATACCTAGTATGTTACTTATTCGCATTAATAGTAGTATAAAGTAAACTGGCCAAAAAATACACACACATTGTAATAGTAGTACAAACTTAAGTGAAAGAAAGTTGAATATCGTTAAAGTACATCAGTTGTGTGCATATGTACAATATTCATAATTATTGCATATTGTGTACGTATCCTGTTTGAACAATATTCATCTAAATGAATATATTGATTGCAAATAGATAGAAAAAATCAATGCAGTTAACGGTATAAGGACATTTGTGATAAAGAAAACCACCTTAAAAAATGATAGAGAAGATTTGTACTTCAGATGGATGATTTGCAATTAGTTGTGTTCTCTGAGCTGGTTGATTGTTTAATTGCTAAGCTTTCGTCGTCCTTCTGGACAACATCCCCTTTCAACGCAAGTTTTAGCATAAAATGAACTGATTTAAATTCTCAAATGAATGATAGAATTGTGTTTCCTGGCAACCATCTTCGTGACTGGTAGTGTTGATTTACATCTGTATTGATCATTTTTTATTGACTTGGAATTTGAACTTTCCTCTCATGTCATGTGACTCACTTTTTATTAGTTGGTAAATTTGGTCTATATTAATAGGTTTGTTAATCGCTGGCTGATTCACTTGAATACCAGGCTCCTAGGAATTATCTGGCGCTTTTGGTGTTTCCTCTGTTTAAAATTCCTCATGTCCCAGTCAAATTCGTGTCCATAAGTATCTACATGCATTGGGTGATATGAAAGAATATATATCATGTCTTTTTACAGCTAATTTGTGTTTTTGTATTCTGATTCGAAGGGGACGCCCACTTTGGCCGATGTAATGTCTGTTACAGTTCATACAATTTATTTTGTAAATGGTATTAATTTTATCCCCTTTTCCTGTTGGATGAGTCTTTTGGTTTGCACAACATCGAATGAAGTGATTGTGCTAGCTGGTTGGCCGACTGGTTGGTTTGTGTGCTATATCTATTTCAAACGGTCTTAATATTCTAGCTGTTATTTCAGAGATATGTTTTCTTATATATGGTAGGATGAATTTTCTTGTGGTCTTTGATGATGGTTTCTTATTGGTGCTGTTATTCGAATTTAGACACTTTAATGAAATTGTGAGGATATGCATTCTTTTTGAAGACGGTCAGTAGGTATTTTTCTTCCATTCTCTTCAACACTGGAGTAGTGCTACAGTTTGTTTGAACTCTTTTAAACAATGTCTGCACACAGTTTCTTTTGTGGGTAATTGGGTTATTACTGTTACAGTTGAGTATTTGATCTTTGTGTGTGCGTTGATTTTCTATATACTTGTGTTTCTATATTTCCTGTGTTAGTTCTCCTGATTAAGACATCTAAAAATGGGATTTTGTTATCTAATTCTTCTTCTCTTATGAATTTGATGTCTTCAAATATTGCAAAAATATTCATTCAGACATCTATAAAACACAAAATAATTGAGCCAGAAAAGAATATCCTTTTCGATAACTTCCTCCTCTTCTCGCTCTACAGTTATATATATGCATGTTTATTTATATACACAGAATATTCTAGATTAGTAGTCAGTAACAGTATTAGTGTTTTTTAAATAATGTCGATTTGTAAAGTAAGATCACAATGGAATTACCACAGTTCATTAAAGATGCTTAAATTATAATAATAATAAAGATATAGTAGCAAATAGAATATCAACTAAAATTAGGAAAATTCCACAAAAATTCAGGATCATTCAAACCTGGATGGCCAAGCGGTAAGGATAATGTCTGAACCAACCAACTTCTTTTGGATGCACAAATTAGGCTTGTTATTCTGGATCCAGTGGCCAGCCTCAGGAATATTTAGCAGTCGAACTCTTAAGGCGAAATTGAGGTTCGTAGGTATGCGGTAAATTACCCTGAAAGCATGGTTAACATCAATCAGTCTTGTGTTCTGTATCCACAAGATGAGATAGAATAGCGCTGCGAATAGATTTTGTTTGTCCTTTGCTTAACCAATCACTATGCAGGGTGATGTTCGGAAATTCGACGAGAAACACACCTAACTGTATGGCCGATGCAAGTAATTGGCTCACTCCACATGAGCAGTTAGATTGGTAGATACACATGGAAGAGGCGAAATTAGGCAGTTTGTCTTTTACTCCCAAACGCAAAAGAGGAGTGGTTTTGAAGACACAACGTAATTCGGCAGCAGGGAATGCTCTTTTTACTGCATTTCTAAGGCACTGTTTAGTATCTCGCTGATGTTGTCCCCAAGGAACTGCATTTGTAAGAATGAGGTTTTCCTTTTTTGGAACTGTTGGTAACTTGGGCTACTTTGTGGGTATATTCCAAATCACATTTCATTTAATTATTACAAATATATCATCAACGTAACGTAACTAGAGTTTTGTCGTGATGCAAAGATTAGAATTAATAGCTCTACTTATAATTGGAAATAACCACCTTACACAGTTGTTCAGTTTTAACTCACTTTTACGCTTAATTTGAATGAATAATTTCTATTGAGTAAATCTGAATTTAATTTTTAATAAAGGATGTCAAAGGACGCCAGGACACAAAAAATGTTAGACTAGCATATTCCTGAATGGCTTCAGAAGCAAATAGAATCCCCAGAACCCATTAATTAATGCTGAGAACAAACGATCCAGCTCATCTATTGCGAAACATATTACAGAAAAGACAGGACATAAAATTGGTGTTTACACGTCTTTTAAACCTATCTATAAAACGTGTTTTGGGCGCATCCTAAAGTCTATGGAAGCCGCAACTAGCAATTAGGAAGTTTAAACCACCTTTATGCGTTCAAAGCAACAATTCATCATCACATTAACCCTACCTTCCTTAGTGAACTTTTTGATACTGGAGTAGATATACTATTACCTCTCCTGTTTGGTTTAGTAATATACATGTCATTTTGACCTTCAATGTGTCCTTTTAACTTGACCTAAATTTATTTTCTCTTAATTATTTCCGGTCAAAGGTTAAATTAATAAAATTACAAAGTGTAGTAAAAATGATACCGAAGCAGAAATTCTGCGTAGATGGCTTTCGAAATCTCTCAGTAAAACATACTTCGTCGCACGCCAGCCTACGAGTAACATTTTCCTACAGGAAACTATTCAACCAGCCCGTGAAAACCAAGCTGTCACATTGGGTCACTTCAACATGTATATACCAGTTCATTTGCTCGTGTGGAGCCGAGTACATTGGCGGTACCATCCGTCCACTTGTAAAACGTACTCGGGAACACTATCCAGCATGGTTAGCAAAGGGAAAATGCAAGGTGTATACAGTTCGGTAACAGAACATCTGGTGAATTCACGACATTCAGCTCCATTTGCTGGAAACTCCTTCGAAGTCCTGTATACAAGATTTACTAGATATGGTTGCTGTTTATTATTTTTATATATGTCCGGACACCCTACCTCTGTCTGGAAATAGTTCTGGAATATTACTACTGTCTGTCTGTTTACCTCACAATCTTGTGTATTCTATCTTCCTGTTTATTACACTTTGTGATTTTGTTAATTTAACTTTTCACAGGAAATAATTCTAGAACTTTCCCACACGTATAAATGCACCAGTGTACAGTCTAGTTAAAGACTTCGTCAAAAAGAACATTTTCTTCACTGCCACAGTCTTTTTAATAATTCCTAGCATGTATGTATATATATATTCCTCTGACAATTCTATGAATGATTTCATTATAGGTAAAACTTATTTTGATAAAGTCTCACAGTGTTGTACAGTGTTATATATTTACTAATGACGTTTCGAGCACAAATTATTGCTACTCATCATCATCATCATCATCACATCAAGACACTACTCACACAACTTTCTAACTTCGTGTATATAATTCCATTATTTCTCATCGCCTCACTTGATTGGTAGTAGTAGTAGTAGTAGTAGTAGTAGTAGTAGTAGTAGTAGTAGTAGTAGTAGTAGTAGTAGTAGTAGTAGTAGTAGTAGTAGTAGTAGTAGTAGTAGTAGTAGTAGTAGTAGTAGTAGTAGTAGTAGTAGTAGTAGTAGTAGTAGTAGTAGTAGTAGTAGTAGTAGTAGTAGTAGTAGTAGTAGTAGTAGTAGTAGTAGTAGTAGTAGTAGTAGTAGTAGTAGTAGTAGTAGTAGTAGTAGTAGTAGTAGTAGTAGTAGTAGTAGTAGTAGTAGTAGTAGTAGTAGTAGTAGTAGTATTTTCCATATTTCCGATATGAGTGATGATGAGTCATTCCTATTGCAATTGTTGGGTGAATTACGGAAACACTTGTCTCTGATATTATGTCTCATTATAAATCATTCAAACTCTAGGCCAGCTGACTAATTCATTAGAAATGATGAAAAGGGAACTAAATGACATTCAACTAGAGAATGATGAAACAATGGTTAGTTTTGATATAACTAGTCTTTATACTAATATACCAATCAATATACCCGCCTTAGAAGCAGTTAAAAAAGAACTAACTGCAGATCCTGAAGTCACTCACTCATAGGACGAAGCTGCCCATTGAAGAAATTATTTTAGCAATTCAGTTATGCCTCACTCACATCTACTATCTTTAAATTCCAAGGCAAAATATATAAACAGAAGGTGCAGCAATGGGATGCATCACCAATATCCCTTGTCATAGCAGATATATTTTTGGACAGTTGGGAAAATATGGCTCTTAATACATTCACCTAATCCTACTCCAAAAATATGGTGGAGATATGTGGATGACACTTTCACACACAGTGTTAAAAACACAACATATCTCTCTCCAGCTTCTTGACACATATAAACTCACTAGTAGAGGGAATAAAATTCACATATGAATCGGAAAATGAACAAGGAAAATTAGCTGTGATGTTAGATTGTAAAATAAAACAAAGAGAAGAAGGTAAACTGCACACTGGCATTTATAAAAACCAACACATTCTAATAGATATTTAGACCTCAATTCATCTCATCCGTTCGTTATCTCTCTGTGAAGGCAGGCTTAGTTAAGCGTCTAACAAACAGGGCAATAACAACACTGAGTAGTACAGAAAACGACCTAAATAATGAAATAAAACAGATAGAAGAAGCGTTGGTGTGAAATAACTAACTATCCTATAAAATTCATTAGAAAGACCAGAAAAGGTTGAAAGCAAAATATAAATAATGGTGAAACTAATGATGATCACTAATATAAATAAGAGAGAATATAAAGCATCTACTGTTATACCATATAGGGAGAGGACATCTGAGACCCTACATAGGATTCATAATAAAGCAGGCATTAGAGTGGTGGCATTTAAACTTAAAAACTCACTCAGATAGAGCAAGCTCTGTAGCTTAAGGGACCCTGTCGGTTGACCCAATTAGACAAAATTATATAATTTACGAAATACCTTGCAATGACTGTGAGCTAGGTCAACTACCTACATAGGTGAGTCAAACTAGTAGATTGCGGGTAGTCAGATTGCCGGGACATAAGAATTTAGCTGAGTTTAGAATGATTGATGCCACGAAGATAAGTAATTTAGAACGCAGCTCAACACTACATTGCACTGCATGCATTAACAAAGAACCACACAGTAGCATAGTGGGAGAGGATTAACATTATAAGAAGTAATATTGGTATGTGCGGATAGAGAGAGGTTGATTACTGAATCCTTGTCCATCGACTCTACACCCAACACGTGCAATAGGAATGACTCGTCACTCATACCGGAAATATGGAAAATACCACTACTACCAATCATGAAATCAAGCTATGAAAAATAATGGAATTATATACACGAAGTTAGAAAGCTGTGTATGAGTAATGCCTTGATATGACTTTGAGCAATAAATCGTGCTCCAAACGTCATTAGTAAATATATAACACTGTGAGACTTTATCAAAATAAATATTACCCATAATGGAATTATAGTCTACCACAGTGCAAAAGTTCAATTCTTATATCAAGTTCATGTATGATCAGACTGTTCGAAGTGTGTTACGCAAATACATTATGCGATTCAGACAAATTACTCCTTCTTATTGCTTCATCTAAATTCATAAAGAGAACTTACTGTTTTAAATAATGTATTATCCAAAGTTCTAACACAAATGTGAAGCTCATGCTTCCCCTATGTGTTTCAAAGACTTCGGTTCGGCAGTCATCTAAACCATTTCCGATAGGCTGAAGCAAACTTTTGTCAAAAAATGCCTTCGTTGGTTCACTGCTGAAAATCAGACGGTCAGAAAGGAGATTAGCATCAGAGAACTTCATCAAACCTAAGCAAACAAAGAAGCTATCGTCCAAAACAGATATGCAGAAGGAATTGAAGATGGTTTGGACATATCCTGAAGAAACCATTGAGTTACATTACACGCTGCATGGGTCCTCAAGTGGAAGATGAATGTAAAGCAAAGAGATTAATATGGGGTCTTAACGAGTATCATGAGACAGCCTATACAAGAAGAAAGTTATGGTATATGGAGCAGTGGGATAGCCAGCTAAATGCAATTTCAAGGAAGCCCGTGGAATGAAGATGTTTCAACTGGAACGAAAAGGATGAATAATAATAAAAAAAATAACCGATGGTAGAATAAAATAACGGGTGAATTTAAACCGACTAACTTTTTAAAAAAGTGTTCACCTTGAAACACAAGGAAATGTGTTTTCATTTCAGCTATGGGTTCTAGGCGCAACGGTTCTAAAGAGTCTCACACAAGTAGTATTCACTTATCCATCAGTCTCCTTTTCACCCATTTTTGAGTCGCAAAAGCTAACTGTCAAATTTTATTTTATTTTTATTATTTTTGACTACAGCTTGATTCCACACCGCACTTTTGGTACAAGTAGGAAATTTTCAGCATGTGATATCGGTAGCCCAAATTTTGCAGGCTGGCCATTGATATCAGGTGTGCGTCGGCAGGGGGTCGAACCCCGGACCATGTGCATGGTCGGCGAACGTCCTAACCGCTGTGCCACCGACATAACTCTACGCATCATCATTTTCACACAACAAAGGATAGAATGACAGTCAAACATCACTCTACCTCAACTTCCTTCCCCCACTACGAAAACGTCTTCGGTAGACAGCGTTCATCGAAACGTAACTTGGAAACTGCTTCAACACTATGGCATGAAGTACCCCAAATATTTATCAACTTGATTCAATAGGCAACAATTATACGATGAAGCCACAGGTCAGGTGATCCACAACAGAAAGCTCAGTGAAGCCTGCCATTGAAGTGAGTGAATACAGGAGTAAGACAAACTAACTGTTTGGCAAGCTGGCTGGCTGACTGACTGCCTATCTATTATCAGCAAGGATGATATTCGTAATTGTGGTGGACTGAACTGGATTGGATTATGCATGAAACTGTACGCTCGGACTGGGTGAGTGGGTGAATAAGTGAGTGAGAAGACAGGAAGGAATACACTGCACTGACCGGTATAACAAGACTGTAGGAGGTCTGGATTCCGTATGTGGATGATTTATGTCGTTGAATGTCACACGAATACAAACACAGACTGGAAGACTTGCAGGCAGGCAAACAGGCAGGCAGGCAGGCGAAAACTGGCAACAAACTGTCTGAAGAGATTGGCTGACTGGATGGCTGCCTGGCAGCGAAAACAGGACTGATCCCATCCAGGTGATGAACATAGAGAAGGTGCAGCAGTGGAGATGATGAAGATAACCAACCATCAACATCAACTAATAGCAACAAAAACCAAGAGCATCAACAACAACCAACAGCAGCACCAATCACCATGAACGGGAGAAGGAGGTTGAGAGAGGTCACTTCCTTCCTTCATTTATCTTATCTAGCCTAGGCTGCCACCATCGTTTCAACCACAGGCAGTCGTCGGAACGGATGTAGATATCAAATCCAGCCAGCCAGGGAGAATGGTAAATGCGAGATACGCCTTCATCAACCTGAAATCAGTTTGGAAATCTTCACTACACCTCAGCAGTATAAAAAAGGAGATTCGGATTTCCAACACAAATGTCAGTGAAGTCAGTCAGTTATTCAGTCAGTGAGTCGTTGTATATGGTTGAGAAACTTGCACTGCGCGTGCCTCATGGAAGGCAATTCCAACAGGCCACTGCAGACTTTCATCAACAGCTTCCTTCTTTCTATGTTGAAACTGTTTGAGCAAAGCAACGAAGAGCCGACTGCCCAACAAATATGCAGGAGAAAATGGAGGTGGATTGGGCACACACTGAGGGGGGAGGCTGTCGAATGACATCACGCGCAATACAGGCCATCGCTCAAATGTAATCCGAATGAGACACGACTAGTGGGTGGTCGGTGCTATTTTGACATAGAGGGGATTGTGTGAGTTGGAGAGAAGACGAGATGAGAGATTATGGGCAGGCAATCGTGAGCCCATGTAGAGACGACAGCAACAAATATCAGAAAGGGGAGACACGTGTTGTTGAAGCCGTATGTTCCATTTGGAACCCAAGGGAAATGAAAGCTAACTGTGTAATGCGAATGGCGCTGGTGAAATTCACTTCTGAAGAATAAGGGAAAGTAACGGAATGTGTACCTGCATTTTGCTGAAAACGTTCAGTATTTTCTACTTCTTCCTTGCACAGATAGTAATCAGTGTTTAACTGTATTATAACATTCCAGTTAAGCAGACAAACTATTTTGTCTAGTGACCGACAGACACTCCGTAGATGAGCCTTTCACATACAAATAATCAATCGTTAATTATAACACACACAGTTTTACTGTTTTGCTTTTGAGTTAATCAAACCAGATAACTGAAGATTAATCAAAATAAACCATCACACATTTATTCCTCTTTGTGAATTTGAATAAAGCAAGAACAATAGTGGAGGTTTGTGTAGAATAAGAAGATGGTACCATCAGTGCGTATTTCGTATAATGGACAGCAAATAAAGCAACTTCCATCAGACTTCACTCATTACTAAACTATTCCTGCATTGGTGACATGGTGGTCAAACTAGTAGATCGGGGGTAGTCAGATTGTCGGAACATAAGAATTTAGCTGAGTTTAGAATGAATGATCCCACGAAGATGAGTAATTCAGAAACAAGCTCTTCGATTGCACTGCATGCATTAACACACAACCACACAATAGCACTGTGGGAGAGAGTTATAGGAAGGTGGAGAAAGAGAGAGGTTGATTACTGAATCCTTGCTCATCGAATTTACAGCCAACATGTGCAATAGGAATGACTCATCACCCACACCCGAAAATATCGAAAATA